TTTCTTATCATTTTTTAAATAAAATTTTTTAAAGAATAGTTTTAGATTTTTCTCCCTGATCATTTTTTTGAGGTAGACAAAATAGGAAGAACAGAGACTTGATTAATTGTTTTGTTAATATAGAGAAACAAGACCACATTAAGAAACTAACAAATCACAAAATTTTATCTCATTGCTCTGGTTAACCCAGCCAGTAGTATTCCAGGGTGTTTCTCTAAGAAAGTATTCATTGGAGAATACTGGCCAATGCAAACTCCATAATGAAAATCATATTTTTATCCTGCTGTAGTTGACTCTCATCATTTTCTTGACATGTTTCCTTTACTTCCTGTTCTTTAGCTAGTTTCAGTAAATAAAATACTTCACATTTTCACAGTAATTTACTTAATCTAAAAACTTACAGTCCTTCACATTAAAACTATAAATAATACCCTGACTAATGACAAATATGGATTAATCTCTATGCAGTCTATTTTATCATTTATATTCAGATATAATCTATAATCTATTTCAGCATATGAATTAGCTGGGTAATCGTCAATCTTGAAGGAGTCTAGGATTTTGCTTTTTAATCAGGCTTATATTAGACTCATAATTATCTAGAGATACAACAAAATTTTTGCAAGATTGAATATTAGTCAAGTTATCTATAGACATTATTAAGAATATAATAAATGCTTAATAAGGTTACATTTAGGAACTAGTTAATAAAAGAGGCAAAGGTTGTGATCCAGTCTTCCCTGAGTTTTTGGCATGTCAAATCTGGTAGGAGTTTCATAGGATTTTGGCTATATATGTTATCATATGGCCTTGAATGAACTATTAAAGGGATCCAAGCCCATGTTGCCAGTTTATTTTCTTAAACACTTCTGGTAGTTTTCTTTTTCTTTTTGTTTTGGTTTTTCATTTTTCACATGTTACAGATTGAACTTTGATTGCCACACAGAGTATTGGTTAGCTAGAAGTTACCTTTTGCATATGCCAGTATTTGAATTTTTCTTTCTAGGATAGCTGGAAGTGAGGTGGCACTGACATTGAATCTTTCTTTGGCTTGTGAATTCTTTTATTATTATTTTATAATTCTGTTTCTTGTTTCTGAGAAATACTTAATACTACTAACAGAATATTTATTGATCACGATGCTCTTACCCTTTTCTAGCTGTAATTTTTCTTAGGCATTTTATTCCCTACAGATTAACATGAAGTAAACACGGCCTTTGCAAAGTGACTACTTTCATTTCAATTTCACTTGTATGATTCAGTATTCACAACAATTTTTGACATTGTCTTATTTGATTCTGACAATAGCCCTATGAAATAGTTAAGGCAGGTGTTGCTCCTTTGATTTTGACTTTTGAGTAGCCCAAGATCATATATCCAACAAGCACCATAGTGGGGTCAGGAAACTAGTTTCCAGCTTACAGTCCAGTGTTTGTTCTTGAAACTAAATGGCATTCTGTTCACATGATTCAAAACCTGGTTCTTTTTACTCATGCTAAATGTCTCTAATGTGTTAACAACGTACCTTGAACACAGAAGAATCTGAAATACTTTGCAGTATACTCAACATAGCTACAATATTTAGGGTCAGATTGTTGGTGGTATAAGCTGAATTCTGTTTTGGAGCTGCTTATCCAACTGAGCATTTGTATACATTCCAGCATTAATCTTAGGTGCCAGGAAATGGGCATGATCCCTTAGTCCTTGGTATGTACCTCATTAGGTAGCACAACTCTTTACTACTTGGAAATCTATGCAGTAATGAGGCATATAAGTAATTTAACAAGAGAGTTATTCACATAAAGACAAAAGCTACTTAGCTTCGCGTAAATGCGGGTACAAAACTCAACCTTTCTGCGTTTTTCTCGGCTGGTACAAGAAGTTCTCTGTCTGTACTTCATTAAACCTGTTTATCTATAAAAGAGTTGTTTGAAATTCTACATTTGTATTGTAACTGGGTCATAACATTTTCATAAAAGAGCTAGAAGTTTAAAAGTGGACTCCTTGTGCACAATCATTGGTAGGCAGTATTTACTTTTTTATATAATAAATACCTAAAATTGTAAAATTCATTTTTAGGTTAGCCAATTCTACTTCTTAGATAAGAGTATAATATTAAAATGTGACTTTGCCTTTCTCTAAATTCTGATGACTCATTAAACAATAACAAAACTTTTTTCTTGAATTTAAGTTAACCTTCAGGATTTCTTTTCCTGCAAGTGCATGTGTTTGCTTTGCCCCTGCAGTGAGACAGAGAAACCCATCTTGTTGACTGGTTTCCCTCCTATGCCTTTTCCTATTTGCTTACACCCTGATCTGACCTCTAGGCTTATGTGTACACCATTCTCCTGACTCCTTCCAACTCAGAGCATGGTCCAGATGAAAGATTTATGTTAGTTACATCAGCTAGTTTGTCTTTTTTTTTTCCCCCTTAAAGTCTAATCTTATCTGAATTTGAACAGCCTTAAGAAATCCAAGTAATAAGTTTATAGTTTTTTTAAAATAAATATTTCTTATCAAAAGAAATTATACTGCTTCATTTCAGGATTTATTTATTTAAGGCTTCAGTTAATTTTTCTAGAATATAAATTGAATGCCATTTCAAACATTATTTCAAAAATTGAGAACTTTTTTTTAAATTATGACAGGATTTTCTTTCAGTGGTTAAAACTTAAAAGAAAAAAAATTTAGAAGGCATGAATAATTGGTACTTGCTCAATTCTTTGTTTTGTTCTTGTGGTACTAGGAGTTGAGCCCAGAGCACACTACCACTGATATACATCCCCATACCTTTTTATTTCTTATTTTGAGACAGGGTCTCACTGTTGCTGAGGCTGGTCTCAAACTTGAAATTCTCCCTCCTCAGCCTCCTGTGTCACTAGGATTATATTACCATGCCCAGACTACTGAATTCTGTTTAAAAACAAAAATAATTAAATTGTGGAAGAGTTTTTATTTTATGTTTTGGTTACTCAGGAGACACTTTCCTCTGCTTATCTGTGACAGGGTGTGTGCTGACTGTGACAGTGTGTGTGTGTGTGTGTGTGTGTGTGTGTGTGTTAGTTCCCCTTTTGGGAAATGGGAGGTGGAGTTAGAGGAGAAAGAAATTTTTTCACTTTATCTTTTTACTCCTAGTGCTTGTTTAACTGACCTTACCTGTGGAAAAATTAGCATATATAGACTTTAAGTATTTGTGATTTTACCCCAGAATATTTCCACTTGGCATTTCAGTCTGCCCCCCAGGTCTCATCCTTACTTTTCCTTGTTTACCTCCTCAACCTGATCTTCATAGTAGTTTGAGAGAATATGGATGCTGCTTTACCTAACCCAACTCCGGCAGTGGGAGCTCCCACAGTAACACTGCTGCCTCACACGGGCCCGGCCGGAGGCTCATGTGGAAACTTTCCTCTGCTCAGCTGGCTAAAGTCGATCCTGTGTGCTATACCTCAACATCCTTTCCTTTTATTTATATGTAGACTACTTTATTAGTCTATCACGTTAGTTGTCAAAGCTACTGATTAGTTTGTGTGTAACTTTCAAGACCTGTGTCTTTGTTAGTCTAGAGAAATGACAGTAAATTTCTAAATATCTACCTAAGCTGGAAAGAGGTAAGGAGAATTAATTTAATACTTTCTGTTTTTGGTAAAACCAGCTTAAAATATATCACCCTTTTTTATTTAAACACAGAATTAGTGCTAAATTTAGTTTACTGCAGATTTACTCCATGACTTCTTGGGTTGCTTTATAAATAAAAATTAGTTATATTAAGATACTATATCTTAAATGCAACTGCAAAATAATAAAATTAATCTAATGTTATGTCATTCTTGTTAATTTATATCAATCTTTGTGTTTTATAATCCTTTGAACACATTAACAGGGAGAAAGTAACTTGTTAATACCAAAGATTATCATTCTTTGTCATATAGTATTATTTCTTTTGTTTTTGTGATGCTGGAGATCAAACCCAGGGCCTTGCACATGCCAAGCAAGTGCTCCACTACTGAGCTACACCTCCAGTCTTGTCATAGGCCTAGAGAGCTAAGGGTAATTTGCTTTAAAATATTATAGTTGGCTCATGAGAATATTAAAAAGTATTCTAACAAAGACAACTAGTAATGTAGGGAGTAGAGCTACACTATAAAGTCACAATATTGAAGCAATGTGGTAGAAGTCAAGATTAGATGTACAGATAATTGAAGAATAGAAATACTATTATTTACACAAATTTGACGTGTTCAAGTAGGCATTGTTAAACAGTGGGTAAGATATTGAATATTTAATAATGAGGTTGAAATAACAAGTTAGTAATTTTGAGGAAAAAATGTATTTAGAGCTAAACCTGTACCCAAATGCAACAAAATTAATTTTAGATGAATTTGAGTTATGTACGAACAATCACATCATTGAAAATCTAGAGGATAAGTCAGGTGTCATGTTGCTGGCATCACGACTCGCAGCTTCTTGGGAGGCTGAGACAGGAGGATCACGTGAGCCTGGAAGTTTGAGACCAGCCTGGGTAACCTAGCGAGACCCTATCTCAAAAGAAAATCTAGGGGCTGTAATTATGGCTCAGTGGTAGAGCACTTGCCTAGCATGTGTGAAGCACTGGGTTTGATTCTCAGCACCATATATAAATAAATAAATAAATAAAGGTTAATCAACAACTAAAAAAAAATTAAATAGAAGTCTGAATATAATTTCTTTGTAGTTTCTTAGCCATTAGAAAAATGGAAAAAGAAGACAGCAAACATTGGTCTAGAAGCCCTTCCGCTTCTTACCACCCTTAAGTGGGATGCACCCTTATAGAATCTGCCCCTATCTTGTAAGAAATCTAATTTGTTTCATTATAACTGTATCCCTTGAGCATCATAGGGCATGTCTCTTCCACGGTTATAATCTGAAGATTAGTCTCCTTCCTTCATACAAGCTACCTTTTGCTGTCCAGATTAGCTAATGGAGCAGAGATGCATTCTTTATCTGATATTTTATCCCTATAGGTGCGTTGAAAATTACACAGGAGCTCGTTGTGAAGAAGTTTTTCTTCCAAGTTCAAGCATCCAAAGCAAAAGCAACCTGTTTGCAGCTTTCCTGGCATTGACTGTTCTTCTAGTAACACTTACCATTGCAGCCCTCTACTTCCTTTGCAGGTAACCAAAATAGAAACATGCTCTTGAAAATAAAAGTAGCACATAAAGTAGTGATTCCACTAAATAATTAATATGCTTTCACTCTGAGAGGTTTAATGTTTAGAATTATTCCTCTAATGCAGCTTCTGTAATTAATTTAAAAGTAATTTTTAAAGCATCTTATTACTAAGTAGTCTCAGTTTTTTACTACCATCATAATTTGGACTTTTTGGACTTTCTTAAACAACTAAGGTTTAAACTTACTAAGGTAAGACGTCACCTAAATATTTAGGTGTTTTGGGCATGATGACTATAGTGAGGGTGGGTCTATCTTCTCCTAAATATTTAAGTGAAGTCTGTTTTAAGTTAAGTCTTGAATATGAAAGAAAAAAACAACTTATGCAATACTGGAAATAAAAGTTTAAGACATGTGGTTAATATGTAGACTTTAGAGCCTACTGTACTGTAGGCACTGTGCTTCACATAATTAATCCCATACTGAACAAGGAAGACTTGTTCCCTAACTTCATAGGAGATTTAAATCTATGTAGAGAGAGACAAATAAGCAGGCAATTAATTTGGGAAGACTGGTAACTCATAAGAGACAAAAGGAAAAATTACTTTCATGGAGAATGCTGTACACTGAAGATTACTTTCATTCATCAGTTTTAATCTTCAGTGTTTTTTGAAATTGTGTGAAAATGTGAAATTTATTAAATTTAGGAGTTATCCAATATCATAACTCATCATTAATATTTATTAAATGCATACTGTATGCTGTTCATACTTGTGAAAAAGAGCTGAGAATAATCATAAAAGAGGTGCAAGTTGGCTTAAGAAGTTTATATTCTAAAAAAAATATGTAGGTAAAATAGTATTTCATAAAATATTGATTTCTCTCTCAATTGTTTTATGTCAAGGAGTAATTAAGATTTGGAGGGAGTTCTTTTTTAAATATGTGGTATCATGTATTTTTTTCAAAATACATCATGAAGGCAATCCAGTAGGTTTTGTCTCTCATAATTTTAACATCTGACTACTTCAGATACAAAAAGTTACATACAAGCCCATTGGATCAGGTTGTGTTTCCCAAATATAGCCATACAATAGCTTTCATTCCCACATATTCTTCTGCAATGTGATCTTGCCACTCTCCCATCAAGAGGTAGTTTATTTCTCTAAATCTTTGAATATGGGCAGGCACTATTATTCCTTGGGCCATAGAATTCTGTTCATTTCAGTTTTGAAGTGGCCTAAAAGCTTCCACTTCTTGCCACCCATACACAGGATGCTCCCATATAGAATCCATCCTTGTAAGAAATCTAAACAGCACAAAGAACCAGCCCCACAGCCAGTGACAACTGTCAGCCATTTAAATGAGCCATCTCAGACGTCTAGTTCATTTGAACCTTTGGTTGACTCCTGACTTAGCTGCTGATTGCCTATAATCACAGAGACTCCAAGCTAAAAATGCTCAGCTATCAATCCACAGAACCATGAGCAATAATTTTTTTTATTCCACTAAATTTAGGGTGGGCCAGGTGCAGTGTAATGCCTGTAATCCCAAGTGGCTCAGGAGACTGAGGGAGGCTGAGGCAGGAGGATCACGAGTTCAAAGCCAACCTCAGCAACTTAGCGAGGCACTTAGCAACTCAGTGAGACCCTGTCTCTAAATAAAATATGAAAAAGTGCTGGAGATGTGGCTCAGTGGATGAACACCCCTGGGTTCAATTCTCAGTACAAAAAAAAAAAAGTTAGGGTGGTATGTTATACAGTATTAGATAATGAGAACAGACATTGGGATTTGATTTACCCTTGACTTTAAATGTGTAAATGTCTGGAATAGTGAATGATCTATTCTTATTCTAGTCTTCTAAACATTTGTCAGTCAGTATGCTAAGGGGAAAACTAGCTGATTAACTGCTCTAGTGCTGGCTTCGGATAGAGTTTTAAACTTTTAATTGGATAATGCATTACTCTTTGTACCACCAGTTATGATAGTCTAGGTTTGGCTGTAGTAACTATCAGCGTACTATGATTTGAATTTAGTGAGCTCCAAATTTTATGCATTGGAAACTTAATTCCCCAAGTAATGAGGGTTCTACCAGCATGAATGAATGAGTAATCACTAGAGTGGCTTTGTTATAAAATAAGTGCTCTCTGGCTTGCTGGCTCTGTCTCCTCATGTGATGCCCTCTGCCATGACAAGACCCAGATCAAAGGCCCTCATCAGTTACTGAGCAAAATACCAGTGCTTGTAGATTTCCCAGTCTGTGGTATTCAGTTTTAGCAACAGAAAAAAAGAAAGACTAAGACACAACCTTAATAGTTAGTGACTCGAAATGTTAAAAGACTATTCCTCATATTTAATATGTAATTATTATGAGCTAGTACACATGGTTTTGCTAATCATATTCACTTAAGGACTCAAATTATGGACTAATCACTAATTTCAGTGCTGTCAGTTGTCAAGCCAGAGGAAAAAAAGAGCTGGAGGGTCTCACACTTGAAATGATCTGCCTATGTGACACACATCACTGCCTACTTAATTAACTGGCCAGAACAAGTTTCAAGATCCTACTCAATTACAAAGAGTGTCAGAAAATGCAGTTCAATCATTTGCTTATAAGTTAGAGAACCAGAAGTACATGTCTAACAGTTACCAAAAGTCTTAATAAGGAAATTCTATATTCTACTGGGATTTGTTGCCAGTGATTTGTATGGTTTTTAAATCCATAGAATTTAATATTGCTATAATTATCCAAAAATTAAATTATTTTGTCAATCCATAGAGTTTGTGAAGAGCATGATATGTTGTACCCCACAGTGCTCAATGCCACTGAGCATCAAAGTCTCGAATATGATACCTTCCTATTCATAGTTGCTCCCCAGACTGCCAGAATTTAGAAATATTTTTAATATGAAGAGCACTAAAGTAGACAAAATAATGTCTTTTGGGTAGAAAGCATAGTCATAATAGAAGAAAAAGATTATATAAGAACAATTGGTTCTAAATAAAAGAAGGGGGGAAAAATTCTTTAATTACAAATGCTATGTGGGTTTGCATTCTTCCTGAATTTAGACACTCTGAAGTGGGAGGTGGGTGGTAAGAATATAAACTAGTCCAGGCTGGAAATGTTCCCAGGCTGTTGACAGAAACAAATACAAATCAATGCTGGAAGAACCTACTTTCATTCTTTACCTTAAAAAGCATCTTAACATCATAAAAAGAATACCAAACAGAAGAGAAGAGGTACCATTAGTTAGAACTAACAGAAATAACTGATAGTAGACTCAGATATTCAAAACTTTTACTTTTCAGAAGAATCAGATGTGATATAAATTAATTATGTTTTATATCTATCAAAAAAATAAATGAGAGACTTAAAAGTAAGCAGATTTTACAAAGACCAAAACAGAACTCCAACAAATAATTATAATTTTTAAAAACTCAGTACATGTCTTAGTTCAAGAGAATTTATTTAAAGATTAGCTAAGGGCTGCCAGCTATGGGTCAACTCATTAGCATATGAAAAGAAACCAATCATTTCAGAGATTCCAAGGATTATATGAATTGTGTGCCAGGAAACAGGGACTAAGACTCCATTCCCATGACCTGATTATCTCCCAGAAAATCCTATCTCCAGATACCATCACACTGGGGAAGACTTCAACATATTAATTTCTTTTGGCCTTCGGGGACACAAGGCAGTATATAAAATTAGCAAAGTCTCAAAATACAAATCAAAATTTGAAATATAAAGGAAAATGAAACAAAACTACTATAATAGTTAAATTGTAATGTATGACTCTCAGAAATTTATAGGGAGATAAAAATCAGTAACATAAGATTTTAACAATATAATTAACAAGGTTAATCTACTACTTATAGTACCCAATAGCTACAAAATTCTTTACAAGCTCATACAGAATATTTTTGAAATTCTTCTGTCAATAAAGAAGTTTTTATCACAAGAGGTAAGAGGATCATAAGTTTGAGGCCAGCTTTAACTACTTAGCAATATCCTGTCTCAAAATAAAAATAAGAAGGTCTGGGGCTATAATTCAGTATACATGAGGGCCTGGGTTCCAGGCCCAAACAAACAACAACAACAACAACAAAAAACCCAGGCCCAGTTTTACTAGTGCGTTTCTTAAAACAAACCACATGCTATCATTGAAGATAGATAAACAGGAATATTCACTTATTCTTTTTTTAGACTAGCATCATTTTGATACATCTACAAAGTGTATTAGTCTGCTAAGGCTGCCATGACAAAATGCCACAGACTAGGTACCTTAAATAACAGAAGTTTATTTTCTCCCAGTTACAAAGATTAAAAGCCCAAGATCAAGATGCCACTGTAGTTGATTTCTGGTGAGGCCCCTCTTCCTGGCTTGTAGATGGCCGTTTCTCTGGGTGTGCATGAAGAGGAAAAAAACCTCTCTGGTGTCTCTTCCTATTATAAGGACACCCATCATTTCGGATTAGGGCCCTACCCTTAGTCTAAAATTACCTTCCCTAAATACCACCTTCAAATACAGTCACATTGGGAGTTTAGGGCTTCAACACACGAATCTTGTGGGGACACGATTTAGTTCATAACAGACAACATTATGTATTAGAACTCTCAGATGAAACAGAACCAGTAGGATGTAAATGCGTGTGTGTGATACACACACACACTTTTTAAGAAACTGACTCAAGCAATTATGGAGGCTGCCAAGCCCAAAATCTGCAGGGGCCAGCAGGCTAGAGATCCAGGGAAAGACTGCTATTGCATTTCAAGTTCATAGGCAATCAGGTTGGGAACCTAGAGAAGAGTCAGTATTCATTTCAATTCTATAGGACACAGAATTCCTTATAACTCCAGGGAGGTCAGTCTTTAGTTATTAAAGCCTTCAGCTGATCAGATAAGTCGCATCCATATCAGGAAAGCCACTCTGTTTTACTCAAAATCCAGATTTAAGCATTCATCTCATCCAAAAATCATCTATCTGATGATCTTGGATTTATTCCAGGAAATGCAAAGTTGATGGAACATTAAAAATTAAGCTAGATATGGTGGAATGCACCTGTAATGCCAACAACTCAGGAGGCTGAAACAAGATTGCAAGATCAAGACCAGCCTGAGCAACTTAGTAAAACCCTGTTGTTGTTGTTGTTATTGTTGTTTTGTTTAATAGAGTTGGGGATACAGTTCGGTAATAGAGTACTTGCCTAGAATGCAGAAGGCCCTGGCTGGATTCAATCCCCAATACTGAAAAAATAAATATTTCATTTTACTTATAGATTGAAGGAGAAAAATCTTTTAGCCTTCTCAATAAAAACTTATACCAAACTAAGAAGAAGAAAAAAAGTATGACTATAAAAAGCCTAGAGCTTTTCCATTTCCATTTATGCAGCATATGTAGATATTTGACATACAGAAGAGATGGTATTGCAGAGCAGTGGAGAAATAATGGGCTTTCAATGAAAGTTGTTGGCATGATTGCTTATCCATACAGAAGAAAGTAAAATTGAGGTTTTGCCTTACAGCATACGTCAAAATCAGCTCAGAGAGATTAAAGGCTTATATTTGAAAACTATTAGAAGAACATTTAAAGAATATCTTTGTATCTTTAGAGGATAGGGACAGATTTTGGAAATAAGAATCAAAAGATGACAAAAGAAATGGCTAATAAATTTGATTTTATTAAAATTGAAAACTCCTAGTTTCCAAGATACCACTAAAAAAAGACCAACCAAGCTACAAACTAGAAGATATATGCAACACAAGAAATATAGTCATGGATATTTATTTCTTGAATATATCAGATCACCAAGAAAAAGGTAAACATGTAGACAAATGGGAAAAAAATAATTGAATTTATAAAAGATGAAAGATCCAGAAAATAAACATGCAAGCCTTGCAACCTTTTTATAGAAATGCAAGTTATACCCACAATGAAAAACCATTATTTCACCTGTGAGCCTGGCAAAATAAGTTTTTTAAGTCACAGCCAGACAATATAAAATGGTTTTATTTTAAAATTTGAAAAGTTTTAACACTTTTGAATCAGTTTGCAAATACCTTGTAAAGCTAAACAAGTGTGTGCCCATTCTTCTTCTGGCTACAGATACCTGATAAATTCTTACAGATGTTTACCAGGAGTTTATAGAACTGGTTATAATAATAAAAATATTGAAAAGTACCCAAGTTCTCATGAACATGAAATGGACAAAAAGTTACATCATTCAAAAGAACAATATGTAAGAGAAGAAATGAACTATAGTTACATATATCAACCTGGATAAATCTTACAAACATAATTTTGGGTGAAGAAGCAAGTTACAAAAGAAAACATGACAACAAAATTCCATTCATATAAAGTTTAAAATGAAGCAAACCCAAATAATTTATATATATATATATATATATATATATATATATATATACACACACACACACACATATTCATATACACACACATGTGTATATGATACATGTATACACACACACACACGGTAGGTATAAAGAAAGGAGAGATACTGGTTACCACAAAATACAGGCAGGTGGTTACTACTGGTGTGGACAGGAAGGATTCAGTTAGAGAAAGTACACATAGGGCTTTTGAGATATGTTCATAGTGTATTTCTCATCTCATGCTGGGTATATGTATATTTATTGTTCATTGTCTAACTTTATGCATTTTATTCACCCTTTTTGTTTGAATGCTTTATTTCACAACAAAGCAACAATTTGCTCATAAAAGTTAAACACATTCATTTTAGAACATTTGGAAAATGGGCATAACTTTAATCAATGAGAAAAAATAGCATTCTTACAAAATGACTAATTTTCAGGGTTGTAATGTTCTTGAAATCATGTACTTTCCATTTTCAAATGACAACATAAGCAGAAGTAATTTTTATGTAATTATGTGAGTAAAGATGTGCCAAGAGCAGAATTAATTTGAAAAATAACATGAGTAGCTATTGCTCATGAAATCTAGAGATTAGATTTGGATCTGTTGTATACCGACCATGTGAAATGTATTTGTCTTTTGGAAATGTGGTTTTAAGAATGAAACCAAGGGCTGGGGTTATGGCTCAGTGAAACAGCGCTTGCCTAGCATGTGTGATGCACTGGGTTCAATTCTCAGCAGCACATATAAATGAATAAAATAAAAGTTCATCAACATCTAAAAAAATATTTTAAAAAAGAATGAAACCAAGTCATTGTTTACTATAACAGTTTCTGGGTCCCTTAGTGGTTTAGTAACTACTTAGGGTCATCTTTGAATGAGGTCCAAATGATACCTCACCAATGCTAACCTCTGGGCTAGAATCAGTAGCTTTCAGAAGTAGGAGCCATTCTTCATTGAGAAAATATATGCCATTTTGCTAAGGTAAGATGGTTTTGAATTTATTTTCATTAATGTAAGTAAATACTCTTGAGTATTGACATATTGAAAAAATTAAAGCAACTTTACATTCCAAATTTTTATTTAATATTTCAAGTAGTTTTTTATAAAAATCTGTCATGATCACATAAATTCTAACCTATATTCGTTGGTCAGATGACAAACAAACAAACAAACAAACAAAAAACTGATAAGCTAAAACCTTAAAGAAGGTCCAAAATGGGGGCTAGAGCTGGGGCTCAGTGGCAGAGCACTTGCCTTGCATGTGTGAGGCACTGGGTCCAATTCTCAGCACCACATATAAATAAATAAAATAAAGACCCATTGACAACTAAAAAAAAAAAAAGTTAAAAAAACAAGAAGGTCCAAAATGAATTTTTTAAATGCCATTAATAGAATAGTTCACTAAAGCCACCCTATGTCAGATGAGGGTCCAACTAATAGTGGAAACTAACCTCTTGAAAAGGCACAAAAATATTCCTGTTACCCTAAAATGTAGTAGCTATGCTGCCATAAGGGAAGAAGGCTAAATGGCATCACCACCCCTGACTGCCCTTCAGATGACCTTCCACGCTGGTACATTTGTTAAATATGGCAGCACTATTTTAGGGCAGTCCTGATGGTTTCAGGTAGTTGTGGAGTTAAAATAAACCTCCAAATATTCAAGTTTAAACTTCCTTTCTAGTTCTTCTGACATGCTTTTCAGTTACCCATTTTTCATTTGTGTTTCTCTCCTCTCTGCTGTAAGGAAGGGCCACCTTCAAAGAACCAGTTCAGCCCAGTGTGATATCAACCTGGTAGAGATGAGCAGTACCAGAGCACACCACAGTGAGTAAATTCATGCTTAAAGTCCTGGATGAGACTTCTATTATTACATGTAAAGATTTGAATCCATTAAAAAAAAAAAAAAAAAGGTTGACCTTAAGAATTTTCAATGGGTTTTGTGCTAGGCACCACTTTTAATGTGAAGATAAATTTCCTATTAGCAGTATGACACAGGTCATATTTCCCCCTCACACACCTAAAAAAAACAATATAAGTGATACATGAAATTACAATGTTAGCTATAATGTGCTACATGGATATGAGGAACTAGTTTCCAGAAGTATTCTGAAGTGGACTGGCCTGTGAGGAGAAGGAGTTTTACCTGTGTGGGTAAACAAATCACTGAGAAACTTACAGACAAATTATCAGTTTAAAACTATCTGGAATAGCAGGCACTGAATTTGCTTCCTATCACTTGAAATAAACAAAAATACATGAACAATGGTTTTCAAGACATTGACATTAGGCAACAAAGTACTGTGAGGGATGGGAATCAGACAAGATGAGCCAGTGATTGCCTTAGATTCCTGCCTTGAAAGCTTCCAGGTTGCAGTGCAGTATCAGGGAACCCATGCTGAGCTTGGTGAATTCCCTGAGTTAAGAAGATGGAGCTGAGAGTCCTTGAAAAGATGAGTGGTGCCCCATACTCACACAGGGCCTCACATTCATGGGTCTTAGGACGGCTACACAAAATGTCTTTCCCCGGGAGCAGGGAATGATTTGCCCTAGGTTAAGAGCTGCTCCAGTCCTGCCTAACAAACCTTAAAAACATGAACTGACAGAATCAAATTGTTTCTAATAATTGCATTATAATAATATAAAAAGTATACAGTATTCAACAGGTAATTTTATAGTGTTTCACATTCAATAAAAAATTACCAACCTGCAAAGAAGCTGGAAATGCATTTAAAAATGAGAAACACCTAATACATTGAAATTCCCATAGATATTAGAAATAGCAAGCAAGCATATTAAGTGTTTATTGTAAATATAGCCCATGTAGTCACAAGGTGAGACATGGAAGATTTTTTTTTTTGCAACCCAAAGTGAATTTCCAAAGAAATGAAATTGAAAACAAGTGTGTAAAATAAAAAATGTTGGATAGTAATAATGTCAGATGACAAAACTGTAAAAAAGATTGGTGAATTTGAAAATACAACATTATAAACTATTAAAAAAGAAACAAAAAAAGTTAAGTGAAAAAAATCTATAGTGAATTATGTGACAAATTCAGGCAGCATAATATTGTGTTAACTCGAGTTCTAGGAGGAGATAAGAGGGGAGATAGAAAAAAAATATTTAAAGAAATAGCCCATTTTTTCAGATTTTATAAAAACTAACAAAGTACAGATATAAATTGTTCAATAAATACTACACTTAAGAACCATAAAGAGCTGGCTGCAGTGGCGCACGCCTGTAATTCCCTCAGCTTGGGAGGCTGAGGCAGGTGGATTGCGAGTTCAAAACCAGCCTCAGCAAAACCAAGGCAGCCTCAGCAAAACCAAGGCACTTAGCAACTCAGTGAGACCCTGTCTCTAAATAAAATACAAAATAGGGCTGGGGATGTGGCTCAGTGGTTGAGTGCCCCTGAGTTCAATCCTAGTAGTAGTAGAAGAAGAAGGAGGGGGGAGAGGGGGGGAGGGGGATCTAGGCACATCATGATCTCTCAAGACTAATGATTGATTTTATAGGCAGCCAGATAAAGACACATTACATATAGAGAAGCTAAGACAAGGATGACAAAGGATGACAGCAGGCTTCTTTTAAGGAACACTCTAACCCAGAGAGGAGCAGAGCAACTATAATGATTTTTTTTCTAATTAAAAGGCTGGGGATGTAGCTCAGTGGTAAAGCCATGAGGCTCTGGGTTTGATCCATTTTTAATCCAAAAAATTAAAAAGATAAATCTAGAATTTTATATCTTGGAAAAAATATCTTTCAAAAACAGGGCAAAATAGAAAATCAATCTTGAAAAAGAAGAACAAAGTTGGAGAATTCAGTTTCTGATCTCTAAATTTACAATGAAGACCCCAGTAACCAAGACAGGGTAGTGCTGGTATGAGGATGGACAGAGACCCGTGGAATAGAATTGGGAGTTCAGCAATAAGTGCTTATTTATTTCTTTAAATGTGTCAAGGCGATTCATGGGAAAAATAATGGTCTTTTCAATAGAAGGTACTAGAAAACTGTATAACCACTTACTAAAGAATGGATTTAAACCCCTACCTCAATATATAAAAACTAACTCAAAATGGATCAAAGTCAAAACCATATATAACTCTTATTAAAATAGAAAGGTGTAACTCTTTCTGACCTTAAGCAATAGATTCTTAGAAACGATTCCAAAACTATCAGTAACAAAGGTATAAATAAACTGTATTCATCAAATTCTTTTTTTTAAACCATTTGTGCCTTAATGATTCCTTCAAGAAGGTGAAAATTACAGAATGGAAGAAAATTTTTCAAATCATGAGCTAAGGAACTTGTATCCAAAAATCATAAAGAATACTTACAAGTCAATAATAAAAAAAACAGCTAGCCCAGTTTAAAAATGGATGAACGATCTGAAAAGATAGTTTTCCAAAGAATGTACAAATGACCAATAAGCACACAAAAAAATTCTCATCATTAGCCATCAGGAAATGAAAATCAAAACTATAATGAAGCTGGACATGGGGAAGCTGGACATGGTGGTACACACCTATAATGACGGTGACTCAAGAGGCTGAGGCAGGAGGATCACAAATTCAAGGCTAGCCTCAGCAACTTAGTGAGACACTGTCTCAAAAATTTAAAAAGGGCTGGGGATGTAGCTCAGTGGTTAAGCGCCCCTGGGTTCAATCCCTGGTACAAAAACAACAACAACAAAACTCTATAACAGATTATCACTTCTTGCCCATATGGATGACTGTATTAAGAAAGAACAATAGAGAAGAAGCGAAGATGGCAGAGTGAGGAGCGCCTAGGCCATTTGGCTGTTTGGCTTCTGGGCTGGGGGTGTGCAGGCCCCTGGGAAGCCGACTGTGTCTGATGGACCATGTGAAAATTCTTGTCACACAGGATGAACACTTTCCTTACATTTAGGTGCTTTTTATTCATTTCAAAACAAAATTCTGAACTCAGGATGTGGCCGGTATTTCTATGTTGTCTTCTAGAGCGAGTAGTCCTGCTTCTTTTATCCAGCCACTTTCCCTACTGAAATGTGGATACCTTTCTACACATTACCTCCATGGTTTGGATTGGAAAAGATTGCTTTTCTTTTGTTTCACCTTTCAAATTCAACACAGAAAGAAGCCCGTAGGGTGCAGTTATCCTGCTGACTTCTCCCGGAAGAAAAAAAGCAATTGATGGGTCTTCTGCAATTTGCTTAATTATCAAAAAATTATTTTGCAAGCTGAAGGCTGACGTTTAATTTGAAACAGGTGCTTAGGTCGTGGTATTTGTGAATTCTTAGCCTTTTGCTCCAAACAAGAAGACTAATAAATGGCAAGTATGGATGACTTCAGGTTTTTTTAAAAATGTCTTCCAGTTTCGGCCACTATTATGATAAGCACATTTGAGACTGCAGCAGTAAATTCCAAATATTTGTTGTAATTTGAAAAGAAAAAGATGTTAAAAAGTTACATATATCTCTATATCCTGATTCATCTTGTGACAGATTTACTGGATAGAAATGAAGGTCCAGTTTTGCAGTTAACCCTTTGGTGTGATAAAGAAGCATAAAGACAAGATATCAAGATTGATTTCATATCTGATACCTAAAGAGAATCTGTACAAATACATATCTTTACATGTGTAAATCCACATTTTTGGATGAAAGGAGGGGTTTTTCTCCTGGAGACAGAACCTGTTATTTACTTTTTCAAGTCTTGGAACATTTGCTCTTTTTAAATTTTTTCATTCTTCTACAGAAAGACCAGATTGTGTAGCAGCTAAGTGAGTGCATGCTTACATTTAGTTAAAAGAATGGTAAAAGCGAACAACCCAGTTTGAGTCCATGATGGAACCCTGTTCACCTTCCTAAGATGAGAGGCTGCTGTATTACAGTTTTATTCATCCTGTTTTGTGGAGTCATATAGCACAGTAGAGTTAGTTTTCCATGTGGCCAAAACTGGAAGAAAAATAGCACGAGTAGTTTTTTAGATAAGAAGGTGAGATGGACCCTATAGTATGACCTGCTTTCAACTTTGGACATACAAGAGAAGAAAAAGATAATGAGAAGTTTCCATATAACTCCTTTTTCCTAAGAAAAAGAAAAATGTCTTATGTAGCACCATTTGACTTTTTTGGAATTTTACATTACATAGTTCCCCTTTTTATAAAGTCACAAGTAACTCTTTTCTCAACCCAGATGGGTACTTGGATTTATTTTTCTAGGTGGTAGGTGTAATGTTAAACTGAAAAGGCTGGGACTCAGGTAAATTTCCCCAGTTGGAATTGGACTTTCTCATTACCGAGTGGGTCTATCTCAGAACCAATGTTGTCAGTCCACTGGTTGTTTCATTGTAGATTTAGAAGAAATTCAGGATCTGAAAAAAAAACCTCAAATAAGAAAAATAGTTCCACTAAGAAATGTGGATTTTGTGTTTCGTTCATTATAGATTGAGAAGAAATTCAGGGTTTGGGGAAAAAGAAAACAAAAACAAGAAATATGGATCTTCCTTTCTTTTTTCCCCTTTAACAGTTATATGATGAAGACTAGAGTGGAAAACTGTTCTTGCTTTCAAACAAACAGGAGCATTTTATGATATCAAGCCTTTCATAAGAAGCATGGACACTTTATTAATGATTCTTAGTAGAGAAAGAATTTTAAACTTACTAGATGCAATTAAGAACAGGTAGTATAATTAGATCATCTTTGTTTTCTAGAATGGTTGCTGAGGGCCATGGGTGCGATGATGTTGGGAACACAGGGCAGATTTACCAAAAATTGAGAGTGATAGAAACTGCCAAAAATGGGAAATGTTGAGCATTGTTATGATTAGATTGGTGAACTAATTTGATTTAGAAT